TATAGTACGTGACTTCAAAATACCTCTCTGAGAAAGATAGGTCAAAGGGAAAGAAACTCAACAAGGAGGCTAGAGATCTAAACACTGCAATTAGACAATTTGACCTGATAGATATTTACAGAGCTCTTCACCCAAATATATAATAATTTAAAAAATGACATTCTTTTCAAGCTCATATGGCACATATTCAAAGACAAACCACATGCTGGGGCATAAGTAGAATGTGCATACATTTAAGCACATTGATATCATACAGACCTCTCTCTCTGACCCCTGTGCCATAAGGCTGGAAATCAAAAGAGGAAGATGAAGAAAACAAGGGCAAACTATTGGAAAATGAATAATACTCTCTACTGCAAAAGGAGTGTATACTGATCAGATCAGCGATGAAATTAGGAAATTCCTAGAAATGATCGAGAATGAGAACATGATATAGCAAAACTTACGGGCCACAGCAAAGGCAGTTATCAGAGGACGTTTCATAGCAATACATGCACACATGAAAAAGGAAGAGCGATTCAGGATTGACATGCTGGCACAAAATTTACAGCAGCTAGAGCAGAGCCAGCAGGACAATCCTATTAATAGCAAAAGAAAAGAAACAATAAAAATCAGGGCTGAGATTCAGGAAAGAGAAAACAATAAAAAAAAAAATGCTGCTAAAAGTTGGTTCTTTGAAAGGATAAACTGACTTAATGGACCCCTGGCAAACCTAACCAAAGGGAGGAAGGAACAAATTTCAATAGCAATGATGAAGGATGAAGGAGGAGACATTACAACAGACCCTAATGAAATCAAAGGATAAATACACAGCACTACAAAGGCTTGTACTCCAATAAATTCAACAACTTGGAAGACATGGGCAAATCTTGGAAAAACAATCCCTCCCTAGACTATTCCCGATGGATGGCAAAAATCTCAACAGACCCATAGCAATAAAAGAAATAGGCAGGGTTATCAAGGGATTACCAACAACAACAAAAATCCCCTTGACCAGATGGATTCACAGGAGAATTATGCCAAGCATTCATGGAAGACCTGAGAGAAATCCTACACAAACTTTTCCAGAACATAGAAAAAGATGGCAAACTCCTGAACTCCTTCTATGAGAAGCTACTACAACTCTGATACTGAAACCTAGCAAGGATCCCACAAGAATCGATAACTACAGACCAATATCCCTAATGAACATCAATGCAAAAATCCTTAACAAAATACTGGCCAATAGAATACAAAAGTATATAAAACAAACAATTCACCATGACCAAGTGGGATTCATACCAGGGATGCAGGATGGTTCAACATATGAAAACCCTTAGTATCATTTGCCGCCTTAACATGAAAACTCTAAGAAGCGCAGGATAGTATCAATAGATGCAGGAAAAGCATTCGACAACACCCAACACTACTGTAATTCCTGTTTAAGACACTCAAGAAGATAGCAATGGAAAGAAAATTCCTCAATATAATACACACTATATATGAAAAACCAACAGCCAACGTGGTAGTCAATGGAGAAAATACAAACACAATCCCACAGAAAAAGGTGAACATACAAGGATACCCCTTGTCCCCGCTCTTATTTAATATCGTCCTGGAGATTTTAACTCACAGCATAAGGCAAAGAAAAGACATCACAGGTATTTGCCTGGGGAAGGAAGAGGTGAAACTATCGCTATTCACAGATGATATGATTTTATGTATGGAAAATCCCAAAAGCTCCACAAGGGGAGTATTGGAAGCAAAAGAGGAGTTTGGCAGAGTGGCAGGATTAACAAACAGAAGTCTATCGGACTGCTATAGACATCGGACAAGACCACAGAAGAGATAAAAAAGGAGGTACCCTATACAATAGCCAAGGACAAATTGAAATATCTAGGGACATACCTGACTAAAAGAACAAAAGATTTGTATAAGGAAAACTATAGAACACTATTACAAGAAACCAAGAGTGCCCTCAATAAATAAATAAATAAATAGATTCCAATCCTTGCTTGTGGATTGGAATATAGTAAATATAGTAAAGATGTCATAAACTCAATATACTAAAGATGTCAGCTATGCCCAAGGCACTATATAAGTTTAATGCAATCCCGATACAATTACCCTCATCTTTCTTCAAAGAAATGGAAAAACTGATTACCAACTTTATATGGAGAGGGAAGAAGCCCAGAATTAGCAGAGAACTCCCCAAGAAGGACAGAGTGGGAGGTCTTGCATTAACTGACTTTAGTACACATTATACAATCACAGTTGTCAAAACCGCATGGTATTGGTATAATGACAGATACTCAGACCAATGATAGTGGGACAAGAGGAAAATAAAATGAAATAGAGGAAAGAACTAGGAAGCAAATATAGAGATCTAAATACAGGCATGTACATATGTAAATATATTTTATATATGATGATGGGGTAATAGATCTATATGCATATATTTATAGGATTAGTATTAAGGTAGCAAATGGACACTGGGCCTAGACTCAAGTACTCCCTCAAAGCAAGTACACTTTTTCCTATTAAACTGGCATTCCATGATGCTCA